GAAGAGCTTGCCCCTCGGCTTTTGGATGACACCAAACGTAATACTTCATCGACACGTACCATGATGTAACACACGTTTTGTCCAGATCCACTACAGATCCCTTATACTTGCAGAAGTTGGCACTGTATCTGTAAATTGGAACATTGTCTTTGCTTTTGGCTTTCATGAACAACATGGCCGCATTTTGTGCGTTTTTCTGGATGACATCATCAACCAACAGTGGTCCAGCCGCGTGCAAATGCCGAAACACGTTCATGTATGTGATGACATCTCTCTGTAGAGTAGCTAGAATAAAAGAAAGTAACAATAAAATTCAGAATTCTCAGTTCTTCAGTAACAACGTGAAAGTTCATGATTTAAATACACTATGAATGCTAAACAGAATGCTAAAAATACATGCTTCTTCTCCAATTTTACGTTTCAAATGAGTGAAATTCTCGTTCCATTTCAATGAAAGCCCTTGAAAGAAAAATTAACATAAACGCACCTTTTACACTTGTACACACCAGGCTTGTAGAGAGAAGACAAAAGAACAGTAGCTTCATTGCGTCAACCAAATTTATTCTTATATAGAAGAAAAAGGTTGTAAGTTAGTCAGCTCTCGTGTGATATTAAGAGCATTTGCTATTGAAGTGTTATTGTTACTGCAATAAAGGTAAAAACATATTAGTCGAATCTGTTATTGATAAGGTTTTCGTCAATGCCGTGAATGTGGAGCAGGTGAGTGACACCCAAACGGAAATATAGCTTTTGTTTGCCAACCATGAAAATCTAACCTTTTTTATATCATGATATAAAAATTATACGAGGAAAATGGGTTGTCAGTTTAGGAAATAATCTAATGTGAACCTTCGTCAAAATAACTATATCACCGTAGCTCATTTTTGTCGATGAAGTACACAATTGACGTTGTTGAGATAACTTACACTAAAACGGAACGTAGCGGTCCTTCATCATAGTTTTAGTGAAGAGTTCCTAGCTTGGGTTAGCCCAAAAGATGAAATGGCTTCTAAACCACTTCCAGGCTTGTTTTGAATCAGATTGGGTTGTGATGGGTAATTGTAGTAGCTTATTCAATAATATCTACTTCAATCAACTTAAAACAAAAATTCTGGTCGTCGGACAAAATTTTCCATCTCAACCTTAAGGATTTCTGAATCACATTGTCACATTTTTAAAGTTATTTGTGGAGGTACTATTTTAGGAAAACGAGACTACAAATGATTGTATTTTGAGTCAGTTGTTATTTTACTTACCCTGTTCACAAAAGAGAGCGAAGAAAACTGAATGAAATTATTACCAAATGGACGCCTACCCTGTTTTGAAACAGCATCAACAATTAAGTTGAGAAATCCTAGCTTGTGTTCGTTTTTCACGTGGATTATTTCTTGTCTTTATCTTTCATCTTGGTTCACACTGATGGTCTCGACCACGGAGTATTTTATGAATAAATAATGTAGTTTAGTTATCAAAAACAGTTCCAGGAGTCTTCATCCAAGAGTAAACAAGTTATATCACGAGAAAATATATCCTTTTAGGTGTAATGGAGATCGAATGCAAAAAAAAAAAAATAGTCCTAAATTTCTTGTACAATCGAAATAAATTGGTTCGTTCAGTTATTTTTTGGATTTAGCATCCACAGTTCATTCCATTACTGTTAGCAGATCGATATGAAGGATCAAAAGTATTTTTTAATTTGCAACCAGCTTTTTACCCGCTTTGTTTTCCAAACATAGGGTATCTGCCTTTGGCACAACATTTATCCTCATTCCAACAAACAAATTTGTGGGCGTGGATGGCAATTAAAGTCTTAACTCTATTTTTAAATTATTTCTCTGGTCATGCAAACCCTTAGACTTTTGTTTCCTTTAAAGTTAAGTTGTGAAAACCTCCTCAAATTGTTTTGAGATGCTTGTTAATAAAATCACCGATAAATTTTTTATGCTCATCAGTTTGGTAAAATGTATCACTTTTAAGTAACAACGCTCTTTAATAACCTCCTAGTCGATCTTTGCATGATACAATTTTGGAAATTTTATTAGCCCTCTTATTTTTGGAACACTAGGTGTGGCCCATAATTGCTTCCCAGAATACGGCGTCTTTTGGTACTAATCACCGATAGCGTGCTGTTTCAATTTGTTTTAATACCAGGTTAAATCTATCATCCCAATAGCAAATAACTGTAGCTATCCGCATCACAATTTCACAACTCATTCTTGCGGAAATAATACGGTGAAAGCCTGTTTCCAGCTCTCCGTCATTTGTTTTGCGGAGAGGATACCAAAAAAGAGAAGTTTGGCACTCAAAATTCTAATCCTTGTAAACGATGCTTAAGAAGCTTCCGGAAGATCACAATGATTCCAATGTAAATCAGGGCTAGAAGATATCATGTGAAAATTCTTTTTTATTATTTTTACTGTTGTTTACATTGTTGATTTCCTTCTTCTTGTTACCCAAAAGTTTGTGGTAGCAGATCCTGTTCAGTGTGGTTGTTGTTGTTTCGTTATTATCTTCGTACTCCGTCTAGCCAAGTTTAAACCTCTTTAAAAATTAAATCAGCATAACAGACAGCTGCTTTACAAGTTGGTTGACAAATTTACTTGCTTTGCATCTCCGAGTCGTATTGATCAAAAACAAAAGAACTTAACATTTACCTGGAAAACAATTCTTGTACAGAATGTTTGTTGGCCTTTGGGGCCGATATCACTCATATCAAAACAACGTATCTACATGATGCACTGTTCAATTCAATAGAATTCATTGTCGTCTTGTTATTGTCTCTGATATCTTCGCTGGTGCTGCTGCCTCCTAAAACGGATGTCCTCCTCGTCACCGGCTCCGTAATATTCATCTTCGTCACCATGGTCACCGTCATATTCATCATCCGGGAATCCTTGTTCGTCATAGATTGTTCTTTTTCTTCTGTTTGTTGGCTGTTCAGTGGAATCCCCATGAAACAACTCTGCGACAAAGTAATAAAGAATAAATAGCAGAAATCGGACGAATGCCGGGTATTTTCCATGCAATCAGTCCTAACTTCCGTTTCCCATAAAACTTGTAGCTTGAGCAACCTTGTTAAGGTAAACATGAACATGTGATTATATCTGATAAAGGATGACTTGATAACGAGTGTAATTTAAAAGTAAAATCACAGACTTAGATGTTGAGGTAATACTGAAAACTGGATTTCAGTTAACATCCTTACTTTTTGTCTTAAAATCACGGTACCATCCGCAGTGAACTCAAGCCCTATTCGGTTGCGGGAAGATATGTTACAAAGCAAAAATTTCAGTCTTGCTGTGGCTTGACATGGACTTGGTAGGGAAAGCGACACAAAGATAAAAGTTTCTGCTACTTACCTAAAAGTGTAAGAATGACACAGGAAAGAAATATCACTGCTACCGCACCCCTCATGGTAAATAATGAAGAGTTTGAAATAATCATGCGAAAAATTACTTAATTCATGGTTCAACGAGAACTGGTTCCAACTGAAATCATTGCCGTTATATCTGCATAAATTAGGGCGAAAAATATGTTTACTTTTTGATGCTGGTTTCCCATTATCTGGTTGCGTGATTTTCCTGGTTGTGAGATTTGTTTTTCAGCAAAAAAACTCACTCCTTTTGTGATAACTCTTTGGTCAATTCTTTTCTATTGTGCGAATTTGCATGTCAGATTTCTTAGTGATATGTACAGGTCTTTCCCTGGAACTTTACATTTGAATTCCCCGTATAAATGAATTATAAGATTAAATCTCATTCCTTTGGAGCCACCACATAACATCGAGGCTCATCAGTTGTGGGTAACCTCGAAGTAATCTCATTTGCATTTTTTCTGTACGACTCGACGGGAATGTTTTACCGTGACTTATTTGTATATTTGTATACAATATCAATTTCTATTCGGTAACAGTGAACGAAACAGGAATGGACTCAAACAAAGATGACACTAGAAAGATGCGTGACGTGAGGGAAGAAAATCCATCGAAATGTTTCAACACCACCACACAGATTGAGGAAAAGTTAACCACTCTGGAGTCCAGAATTAGAGTTGTGAAATCGGATTTCAAGGCGCAAGTCGACGATCTTAGATCTCGTATGGAACGTTTGAAGACAGAGCTGGAAAATGTTCAAGACGATTTGAACTCGAGGAAAATGAAAGATGCGAAAAATGACGACGACGCGAGAAGAAATATCTTGAAAGAGACACGTGCATGTCGAAAACACCTGCTACAAAAGAACAAAGAGTTGACTTGAATTCATTCGAATTACAAAGAGATGCTTAGGGAAGATTTTCACCACGGAAAGTTAACGAAAGGGGCAGTGTTGTCTACGAGTAGAAAACCGGAACTCTAGGTCAGAAAAAATAATTGTAATTCATGAAAACAATGATAATGGCCACCTTAAATCTTCCAAACTGATGCCAAGTTTTTTTACTTAATTTGATTAACCCACGTGGCAATTTCGACTTGTGCAAACATCAAAAGTGTTTTTAAAAAAAGACTTGTAGAGCTAAACTGTGTTTATTTCTTCACAGGTAAAACCTCTATAAAAATCAAAAGGGAAATTTTGAGCGGCAGAAATTTGGCCCTTAGAAAAACGAACCTCTCCAATAATTCTAAAATTTCAGTAACCCCTCAGAAAATATTTTATCTCAGACATATTTTTCGCAGGTCTTTGTAATTTGGCTAGAATCTTCCGACGAGATGTTGAAGGAAAAACTTTTTCCTTTATACAAAGTGGAAATTGTAATTAAACTATGCACAAGCCATCGGTAATTGATTTCAGAAGTAATATTTCAAGAAAAGGTACTTTGTGTTTGCTCAAGAGATTTTAAACTTTTTACATTCTCTTGGTTTGCTTGAATATACACCGCTACCAAAAGGAAGTTCCTGGTTTTCAGTAGAAGAAAACGTTTGTGGTTTTCAGTCCACATGGTTTAACTTCGAATTTGGTACATTGATTGATAGATATTCTTTTTAACAAATCAAAATATAATTTATAAGTGCAAGCTTTTTTATTTAACCTAATAAACAAGTTCAAACATCCAACCGACATCAATCGCTGATGCTAGAGTCTCACAACGTTTTGTTAGTGTTACTGTTTTTGTAACTTACTGTCTTTGTCGTTCCCCTTAAGTTATATAAATCGGAACGTTAAACTGAAAAGCGTATTAAACACTTGTCTGTGCGAAGGACCCTACCATGTTTGTTTGCTTCGTGGTTAGATCATGATTAATATACATTATTTTAATATCTTTATCGAAACTGACTCAGTTCTACATCATCTTTTTCATTAAATATGTTTTGCAGAAAAAGCAATCTAACTAACGCCAGATATCTTCTTTAAATTATCAAACCATTTATAACAAACTACAGTAGGGTCAAAGCTATTTTAAAATAAAACGTTTACAAACTAAAAATTGTGTTTAACACCGGTAAAATGAAATCGGGGTTAAAACTTATGTATTCGTACTCGCGATCGTCTTTTATTACAACAATATGGCGCGCAGTAAGATGGGCAGAAGTTAACATTATTGGTGCAAGCAATGGGGCACTGATATGGGTTTCTTTGGGGGTAGATTGGTTCAGGTTGGTAAGAAGCTGGTGATGGATACTGAACGGCTGCTGCTCCCGCTGCTGCTGCTCCTGCTGCTACTCCTACTGCTGCTACTGGAGCTGGAGCCTGGGCGCAGCAAGTCGGGTCACAACCTGGCTGACAGGTGCTGCTCACACATTGGTTTGGGCAAAGTGACGCGCCTGTGGTAAAAATGAACAAAGAAATTTTACGAGGTCAGCGCCTGTGGCACAAATGAACAATAAAATTTTACGAGGTCTTATTAGAGGTCACATTTGATCAAGAGACCCTTGCTCACTCAGCAAACCGTGAGAATTAAGGAGTTGCAGCCTACCGTGGATTTCTCTTGCTATTGTAATGAAAATGAGCATATAATTTACGGCAAAAGGCCAGCAGCGGATATCAAACCTCTTCTCATCTGCCTAATTAATTATTGTCATGAAGTGGCTCTAAACCTTAAACGCTCTGGATGTTTCTAGGGCGTAATGCAATGATAATACTCCTAAACTGAGTGAAAACAAAATACAAATATGAAGTTAAAGGCTGGTTTAGATATAGTTGGGTTAACTTGAAGAAGACAACTGAGCGCTGTGCTCCATTTTACCAGTCCACCATCAGTATCCTGCAATTTTGGAATGCTCACAATTACTTCGTTCTACGTCATAATTCATTTAGTCAATACCACCACATTCCAATTAAGATAAACGTTTGTTTCCCACTTGCATAGAGCTTGACGGTCTACTAACCTGGCAGGAGAATTGTCACATTGATAAGTTTAGCAGATACTCCATTTTCTAGTTCCAGTTCTCCATCATTCTCATTAATACTGGTCTTAAGTGAATCAATCGAGTCAGGACTGGCCTCCGGACCTAACCTCAAGATAACCTCAACAATTGATTTGCCGTCTGGCAAGCACCTAAAGAAAAAGGGAGAAAATAGACAACTCTTAAATCCAAAGAACAATAATTCAATTATTCAGTAAGTAGATGATTCATTTACCTGATTGTGTTCACAATTGGCTGAACTGAAAGGTTCTTTGCTTGGAAGTAACGGGCGATCTGTCAAAGAGTTAACAAATCAACAAATATTAAAACAAAAATAGTTTCAGCTTTCGTATTCCTATTTTGAGACTTGGGCTTAAACTTCTAAGTAGTAAGACAAGTAAGAATGTGTTTGACATTTGCCACGAGCGAGGGAAAAAGAGTTCAATTCTTCAATCATCGGTTCCTTAGATTGTTCGGCCGGTACTGAGTACGATATCTCAACTTTCTTAACTATTTTCACACCGGAATTGAGGAAAGAGTCCTCTAAAATAAAAGCCAAATTTTTTCGCCTGAATTCTAATTATTTGCCTTCAAAATTTCCTTCAGTAAGAGAAGGACCATATATCATTTGATATATTATCGATGATTAACCCTTGTACACCATAACATCAGCATGAATATTCTCCATACTGTTCTCTTTGCATTTCTTAAGGTGCTGACAAGGAGAATTTGTGGAACAATCGAGAACTTAAGTCGGTGATCATTTCCTTTATTCGGCTTGTGAACTTAATGTTCGATTCAGGTGATATTGTATGGAGAAATTAGACTCTTTGGGGTCAAATGGTTTAAGAGAGCAGAGTACCATTGCGCATGCGTTATTTATTTTGCTTAAGTTCTCAAGTCTGCTTTGCAACTGATCACTATATGTGCAAATACAATCACTTCGGGTTTATGAAGGAAAAATCATTATGCATACCTGAACGAAAACTTGACATGGAGCAATTAATAATGAATGAATTGTAGCCAATGCGATGGTGTGGCTTTATGGCCTCAAGAGTTGGAGAACGTGATTTTTTTCAGGTTAAGAATTATATTACCATAACAATTACAGACTGGTCACGATCTTCTATTCTCTAAAAATTTTTCTAAAAGCATACAACTTAGTCTTTCATTTTTTTTTTACAATTCCATTGTATATCATAATCCTTAACTGATCCTTTTCCTTAAAACTTCAATTCCACGTCATAACCGCCTCATTCTACCTTTTTTCACAAAGTATTTACGCATACAGTAGCTTACCGTATCCCTGAGAATGTCATTCACATTCTGAATGACAGGCGCACACACGGTTGGGTAATATGACCCAGGATAAAAGGACTGGGAGTACTGAGAATAGGAGGTGTACTGGGACGACTGTGTTTGTGGTTCCGTCAGGTTAAACGTTAACTTGTAAAAGGTATGACCTGCATTGAGAAGTTAACAATAAGAGAGAATAGCCGACCAATCAATCAGGCTTACTTCAAACAAGAACCTGTCGTTGATTTCATTCTGAAATCATGATAAGTATATTTTGTATCCTAATACATGTGCAAACGTAAGCATGGTCGCCCATTCTTTGGTAATTCCTGTTATGTTGTGTCTTTGAGCAGGATTTTGTTGTGGTAATTGATCAGCATGATTTGCATGAATGTATATTGAATATGAGTACTTATACTGTTAAATGTATTTAAGTAACGTGAATATTGTTTTAAGGCTATCGTGAGTTGTGATCCTATAACCGGCGTCTCGACAGACTTTACAGGTCCCATAGTTATCACATAATAATTCCACGATCAACGAAAATGTATCGGTGTCCTTTGGCCATAAAGAACCGAGTGTCATTGCCATTCACGTCAATTAAAGCTTTACACCCAATGTAACTCGTTGATTAGAGAATGACTGAAAGATATGATTTAAGCTTTGTATTATCATTGTTTCTTACCAGGAGCGGGAACCTCGCAGACAAAAGCCTTTCTATCGGAACATTGTCTGTCAGCCCATCCAGGTCCGTATTCCCCTTTGGCTTGCACGATACAGCTCTGTCCTTCATTTCCATCAGGTTCACCGGGCAGCCACTCGGAGAATGGAATTTGCGATCCTGAGACCCAAACGTAACGGCCCTCGGTTGAGCGATCATGGAGTCCAATCCAAGCTTCTGTAAGGTTGGCTTCTTTATAAAATCGTGCAAGAAAACAGAGGACATTTGTTAAGCTTTCATTCATCAACCAGCACTATGTGTGGACCAGTAATCACTAATAAATGGTAGTGGCACTACCTCGAGGGCATTGAACTACAAATGGTTGGGTAATAGCTTAAAAGCAAGTAATTTCGTTCGTGGAACTTTTACCTATTACCACTGCCTCGATGTAACGTATTGCACCTCCACTTCAAAACCTGTAGCATCGTAAGTGCCACTTTTCATCGTGGAAGGGGAACTCAAAGCTCTTAATCGTTCGCATTACCTATCCTTTACTGTGTTCTAGTTTTCGTCCATAAAACTGTGAGGAGGGAGGAGACACTTGACTCGAGTCAGGGAGGTTGTTTATCTTAGATTTTGGCCGATGGGAGGGGCTCTTTTTCAAAAGGGTGTTTAATTTAGTGAATGGCTATCTCGAGTTTATTACATTTGAGTTTCGAACAAAGTAGGATGTCAGCTTACTTGCAATTAAACTAACAACCAGGTCAGCTTCCTCTCTGCTCTCAAGCGAAGCCAGGGTACCGTTATCAAGAGCACAACCAAGCAGAGCGTCATCCCAGGTCACTGGTGTGTTACGGACGGTGAAACATGATCGAGTAACACCCATCGGTATTTTAAAGTAGCCTTCAGGACAGGCAGCTTGATAAACGAAGAATGAGAAAGACGAATAGATTAGGACATAAAATAAATGGCTAACCAAACAAAACAAGCAAACTAACAAATGGCAGGTAAATTAATTTATCACTAGCTAGGAGAAGAAAGAAATTTGATAAATAGGTAGGTAAGTAGGTACGAAGGTAACTTGGTAAGCAAGAAGGCAGGGAATCTGATTAGTGGGGAAATAGGTTAATATGTAGGTAGTTAAAAGGTTAGGTAGGATGGTAAGTAGTCGAATAGGTAGGAATGTTTTTATGGATATTGACTGTGAAAATAAGTTTCTAGAAATTTCTAGAATGCCTAGTTATGCTGACATACATAAAAGAGCTTTCTATTGTCTGGCATACCATAGAACTTTCCAGAATATTCTATTGGGTTATGTAGTCATGATTTAATACTTCCAAAATAGTTGTGTTTTAAGCTTCCAGATTCTAGACTACTTTGTGTAAGTGTATAGAAGGACTCAGTTGTGTGGTACTAGTTGTTGTTGCCTGGTGTGACTGATTGTCCGGAGAGCGATACCGAGAGAGAGCTATTGTGGAAGATTATTCATTTCAAGGAGATTTGGACACAACTATCAGATTGTGGCAGTGGTGAGCTAATTTATAATTTGTAGTGGGCCTAAGTTATTTTATCAAGGATAATTACTGTATCGCCTACAGGAATCGCTCCCTAGTAAGAATATTTCACGTTGTTTAATAAAGTTGTGGAACTTGTAGGAGTATGGTGTTCTTTCTGTCGTTTGAATTATACCGAAACAATGTAGGTACGTGGGCCATTGTGGAGGTACGTTTGGCGGTGGAAAGATTAGGTTTGTGTGTACACCTACGCAGCATTTACGTATCAAGTAAGTTTGACAGACTGGTTATTTTCTGAAACTATTTTTTCCATTTACCTTCACGTATACTTACCATCTGGTGAGGGTGTAGAGATTCCTGGAGAAAAACGCAAACAAGTGAAGGATCAGAAGATTACAGATTGCTATTACATACATATGTTTTGTAAATAGGCCTCTCCTGGTGTACACTATACTGGATAATGAAATTCGAATCTTCATTAAGCACAACTTAAGAGCACATAAATCACCTACCAGCCGCAGGAAGTACGTTTTCTTTAACCTTGTCATCACTCTGTGCAGGACTTAAAAACACTGCAATATAATATTTGCCCGGGACATTCTCTCTCTTGGAATTTCCCTTAGCTTTAGCGATACCAACTCCGATGCTTGTGGTACTTTGCCATACCAGCTGTGTGAACGGAGACGTCTTTACAGTGAGCTTAGGATCAGCCCAGTCAAAGAACCTGATGGCACTATACCATTTGACTGCGCATGCCTTGGCAATATCAGCTTCTGCCTGATGGCTGCATACCAGTTGCCCAAATTCTGAGTCAGGATCAATCTTTTCTTCGCCAGAAGCTGCGAGATTTTCTGCCCATTCGCTGGCTAATTGGTTCAGTTCCTGACTATCCGACACATCTGAGGCTTGGTGGAGATTTCGGAAGACGTTGACAAGCTTCTCTACATCCTTCTTGAGTTGCTCTGAAAATAAATTCAAATTTCTGTCATTTCGCTTGTGAGACCATATACATCTGTCACTGACTTGTTACTGATTTGCAAAAAGTAAAAATTGCACTATTACAGATAAAAGAATAAATAAGGTTAAGTTCAGAGAGCTGTTTTTTACGAACTCTAATTCCTCATAAAGAGCAGAACTGCCTCTAGATTACAAGGAAGGCATCCAGTTTGTTGAAAGCTCAGCTGGAGGGGAAACAATCCTCATCTAATGTTTTTGCTTTGAAAAAAACAGTTATCTGCATGTGCAGCGTTAGAAAAAACGTTCCAGGATTCAGAGAACATAACAACATACCAACAATAATTATTTTAGAATTATCCACAACGATTACACAACTTATCCTTGAACTTTGGCTGAAAAGCAACTGTGTCAGTGCCTGTGGGGGCCACCCATGAGCAAAAAAATGGCTTTAATATCATAATAAGTTAATGACCTCTGTATATTGCTAAAATAAGGATAAAACCAAACTATTCACCTATATCTGGTGGTGGACTTTGTGTTCCAGTCGGAGTAGCTGTTGACGGAGGAGCTGTTGTTGGAGGTGCTGTTGCATAGTAAGAAACAAAAAGCATCAGGAGTTATATTGTAAGTTCTAATAAGATGTGCCATCAACTCGGCATTACAACATTCGTTTCCTTGCAAAGTTTCTTTTATAACAATAATAATTGATATTTAAACAGGGTGACCCCTTCAGTCACAAGACTGGTATCAACGGGCACCCTATATAACACAAAATAAAAGAGAGTAAAATAAATTATATATATATATATATATACACATATAAATAAGAACCAACTGATATAAAAGTAACAATGTTCGATTTCAGAATGTTCTCTAACTCCGTAAAATAACCGGGTTTTAATATCTAATTAACGTTAATCTTCATGAATTCATCTAATTATTCATTCATTTATTTATTTGATTGTGAATTCGATATGGTTAATTTAAGTAATTAAAATGTTACAGCGAAAAAACAAAATAACACCATAATATTTCTTTGCTTACAACGGATGCGAATCATAAGACAGCACCTGAAAAAGAGCCTACGGCGGCCTGTAATATAATGTTTCCATTAGAGTAGTTGACATTATGTCACACTAACATAAACTGTTGGCGTCAAAGAGAGATGTCAGCCTCGACTCTTGTGTTTCCATCTAATCTCATAACTGATTGACCCTTTCACTCAGATCTCATTCGTAATTCTCCTTACTTTCTGCCATATAATTCTTAAGCTTATTTAGGAGAATTTGGTTTTGGATCAACTAATAATCCCCTAATTGATATTTTTCTTTATTTTTATCACTTGTCTATTAATATTGCATGTCCGAAGAAATTCTGTCTTGGTCACTCACGGAAGTTAAGGGGTTAAAACTGTCAATTTCAATCATGTAAATTACATGTTTGTCTTATTCTGAATTCTTGTTGTAAGATTGAAGTCAAGTCCATGCGTTTTTCTGGAAACGTTCAAAGTCGTCGCTGCAGTCAGTGAGATTTCCTTTGTTTGTTGTGAGGGACGTTGAACGACGAATATCCATAATTGGTTTATCTGTGGTAGAAGTGGATTTACCTGTTGTAGATCCAGCAGATGGGCCTGTGGCACCTGTTGAGGCAGCGGATGAAATGGTGGGTGTTGCAGTAGCGGTTGCTCCTGTGATAGAAGTACCACTTGTAGGTTTTGCAGAGGTGCCTGCTTTGCGAGTGGTTCCTCCAGATGATCCAGGGGTAGAAGCACTACTAGTAGAGGCACCGCTTGTAGGTTTTGCAGTGGTGCCTGCTTTGCGAGTGGTTCCTCCAGATGATCCAGTGCTAGGAGCTCTACTAGTAGAGGCACCACTTGTAGATTTCGCAGTGGTACCTGCTTTGCGTGTGGTTCCCCCTGTTGCTCCTGTAGTGCTGCCTGTAGGTTTTGCAGTGGTGCCTTTTGAACCGGTGCCTGTAAGTGGTGTAGAAGAACCACTTGTAGATTTGGCGGTGCTGCCTGTTTTGCGTGTGGTTCCTCCAGATGCTCCGGTGGTAAAAGTACTGCTGGTGGGGCTTGCAGTGGTGGATGCCCCGCTAGCAGTAGCACCAGTGCTAGATGCAATAGTGGTACCTGCTGCGATTGATTGTTAATTAACTTTTACTTTAATGAAGGTGAACTTGGTCAATTTTCAAGCCCAAAGCTTTGTACTTAATGCATTCAAGGGTAAACAGCAAAATAAAAGGACTGAAATACAGTGAAAAACATTAGGTCCAAGAGTGACGTGGTTGCCAGCAATGTCGATAATGTCAATAGGGCTTCAGGATAACATTGATGATAGGAAAGCCGTTAGGCTTTGTAAATAAAATTCTACGAGACTCTATCGTTAGAGATTCCCCTCTACTTTCAAATGCTTACATATTTGAATTGTACCATAATTATATTAAAATTATTATAATTAAAATAATTCTTTTTGAGTTCTTACCCTGAGTAGTCTGTGGCTGTTGATCTTCCTTGACTGTTTCAATAAAGAATAACAAAAACTTTTTAGAGTGATCGACAAAAAGTAATTAAGCTATCGGCATAAGTCTAATTGACAGAAGATCAACTCGTACAGTTCGGTGAAGAAATTAACATTTAAATCGGTATTAATTATAATTCTTACTTTCGCATTTCACTCCTGCGTATTGCGGAGTACAAATACAGCGGTAGCCTTCAGGAGAGTCAGCATCAGTCTTACACGTTCCTCCATTCAGGCAGGGGTTCGGCTCACAAGCTAAATGTCACGTGATACAAACAACATACTTTCTTTAGAAACAGTATTTTTCATTCAGGATTACTCTCTTCAGACGATAACAGAACACGATCAACAAGTACGTTCATTACAATTAAACGAATGTACTAACCTTGAGGGTTGGGTTTTCCTTCTTTGTCAGGAAGCCCACCACCTGCCAATCAAATAAAAGTAGGGTGTTGCTAATAAGTTTGACGTGTTGACCCCTGCTATTTTCTCCCTGGGCTTTTTATAAGTTTAGGGTAGTTCCTTTTTACCCATACAGTGTGTAAAGTATCTTAGATTGCACTGCGTTTTCATTGGTGTAACACAGCTTTTGGCGCACTCTCAATTAATAAAAACAAACAGAAAACGAAAAATTGATTCGGTCACCACTCAGCGCCATTTCCCTCCCTTCCAGCAATTTGTTCTCATTGGACGTTGTGAATGCTTTAGGTCTGGCTAAACGAACTCAATTAAGTTGCATCCAGTGAGGTGTGTAACACAGATGGAATGGGCTAGTGACACCAGTTGAGTCAAATCAATATCCCAGTTCCTCTTAAGAAAGCAAGAATTTGTTTTAACACCCAAACTAATCAACCGATCTACTCAATTAATACTGAACTCGTGGAAGCTATTACAAGGGTAATATGAGGAATCTCTAAAGTAGGATCATATGGGAAAGTATCACTTTATGGTCGAAAAACAATTTAAAAACTTTGATGAAATGTCGGGTGTGCCCTTCATACCCTGGTTAAAAGCCTGGTTAACCTCGTCTGGTTGCAAAATTCTGTTCCAAGTAGCAAACTGGTCAAACTTCATTGGTAACATCTCCTGCACTAGATTGTTATGGTTGGGTTTGCTTATCCTTAAGTCGTTGAATTCGTTTCCTCTTATCTGACCCAAGCTTTCGCTCATCTGTTTAATACCAGCCTCTGTTCCGTTGATGTAATACTTTAGTCCCTCCTCTACAAGAAAACAAGAAAAAAATTTACGGTAGGAATTTATAGAATGCACTCAGCATGCTAACAACCAACATGAAGTGTTTGTATTCGTTTCAGAAATTCAATGGTTTCAATTTGGCTCGAATCCAGCCTAATTTGCTGTTTATATCGATGATAATAACCTATTTCGTGGTCAATTTTATTGTATTCTTAAGGTCAGAAATTTAAACGATCCATGCAACACCATCTTAGAACCACATAAAAAGAAATCTCTATAATTCATTAAGGAAATAAGAAAAAATAGAGGACTTCGGAACTAGATCCATTTTGTACAACATTTATTTAATTAGTCGGAGAAATAATTAAATCTAAATATTAAAATGGTTTTGATTTTAAGAAAGTACCATTTTTCCAGGTAAATGCGAATGAAAACCAAGAATTTAGCGGTATTTGTCCTTGTGGTATCTCAATTCTCCATTCTTTCTCAGCCGCCGACACTCTCAGTACAAACTGATAGTTCTGATGGAAAAAAGAGAATCCTCGGGATCTGTGATCTGACCCTCCACTGGATAATATGTATTTCGGAAGCTGCTGATCGGTTAGGAGGGCTGCTTGTTCGATTCTTGCCCAGAAAATCATGGTAACTCCATTAGCACATAAAGATGGGTCACTAATGCATCTTCCTTTGAGAACAAATTTCAAATATAGAAGTATAAGCTTTGTTCTGAAGTAAAGTATCATCAGCCAGTTGGTCTGTATTATTCAATGTCTCCATAAAAGGAAATCAAACACTTCAAAATTTCAGATATTCAAAGGGGAATCCCTGAGTGACGTAAACAACTGATGACCAATTTACACCCTAATATATCTAAAACTTTCGACTTAAATTGTGCACATGTAACTATCTTGAATTCAATCAATCGGTTTCTAAAAAGTTTTCCTCACTATCTCAGTAATCAGCCATCCCCAAACTGATAGTTTGTAAGACATGCAAAGAGCGAAACCCACAAAAACCATCATAGTTTTGGAAAAGTTGGTAAAATGGTCAGATTTCTTGTTTTTCATGGTATAAAGGAATCCCATTTGAAGCATATTGCCAAAGAGTGGTATCAACTTTATGACAGCATTTAGCATGTGTTGCTCAACATTATTACATGCAGGTGATAACCTCACCCTTAAAGTTTCCCAGATCAATCCAACTGTTTTGTTCAAGTGTGGAGGCTACTTTTCCTCTTGCCGCGGAATCTACTATTCTAGCCCCGTCCTATGAAAGGAGAGAATACCACTGAAATAACGAACAGCACATGATGACTAACTTTTGATAGGTTTTGAAATATTTTAATGTATACATTGTGGCAGTAGAGAAATTAATATCGTGAACACAAATTCAAGCTTATAACCATCTAGAGTGAAAACTGGGTTGGATCTTCAAAACATAATAAGTGATCCATAAATTACCACCATAAATTAGTGCATGCCTTTCCTACACAACAATATTCGTTTTTGAAGTCGTCGTCATTCAAGACCACAATGGTTTAACTTTACTGCACTTTTTCGAATAGTCTACAAATACTTGACGTAGCCAATCTCACAACCATTCAAATGCAAATCATGACTCGGTGACTCACGTTTTCCCAGGCGTTAAGCAGGTTTATTGTTACTTTTTGTTGTCATTGGCTCCTTAGGATAAAATCTTTCGCTCTGATTGGCTTTTGCAATTACTATGGTTTCGTTTACACGATAAGGCGAAATTGGCACAATACTGAACATCAAATCCCACCCTTCAAGTAAGCTGTTAATCCATCATTGTACCTTAAGCTGAGCTGGGAAGTTTCCTACTAAATCAGGAGATGAGTCGGCTTGAGCATCATTAAACGGCCAGCAGTGGGAAGAGTCCTTAAAAACGCCAACAAAACCACCAACCACAGCTGCACAGGACGAAAACGATAACCAAATACAAGAGTTCGATGAATAATAGATACAAATAGGGATGAAACAACAAAATGAAAATGGAGAAAGCACCGAAGTGGTGCTGAAGCGAACAAATAAAATAATTTGTATATTTACCGCCTTGTTTTGATCCCTGTCCAGAAGGAAATAGTTCTTTCGACAAAGCTCCTTGCTTCAAATCACAGTCACATGTGAATACATATACCTGTCCCCCAGGCGCAGTAATTTTGACCTTTTGCAAAAAAACTAAGGACAATTAGGAATTGCATGAAAAAATGGTAGGTGAGGGAATGGTGCAGTGGTGAGACTACTTGCCTCCCTCCGCTGTGGCCTGGGTTTTATTCCCATTATTATAATCATTATTGCAGTAAAAACCCTCTGGATGCCAAGATCATAAGCACGGTTATGTTGGGCGGCGCGAGCGGTAGCCAACCCTATGATGAAGACCTAAACTTATACTCTAAAAATAAAATAAAACCTTAATTGTTAAGATATTGTACACCTTATAAAATTCTTGCTTATGAAATTGGGATAAAGCCCCTTGTGACTAGAGCACTAAAAAGTTTCCTGATATTGTCTGTATATATGAATCTAAGATGTGAAACCACTGTTCAGCATAGAATCTTGACCGAGCAAGCGAAATGAAGTGAACTGGTTAAGATAGACTTCTGCATCTGGAGAGCTACTGATTTACTAGAGTCTCCTGCAAGATATGTCAGTGCCCTGCTAACTTCACGGGAATAGCTTCTCTGCACATCAATGATGATATTTCACTGGTTCACCCGGCGAACTGATCAGCTGTCCTGTGGCTTCCACTCAAGTGGTCCGTACCTAGTTGTCTTCTCAACGGCTTTCACCTAGCGATTTCCGATTCCCTGGCAGCTCATCTCAAACAGCGACACTTCCGAGGGTTCATTTCACTCAATCTCACGTTTTAATAGGAGTGACGTATTTCGCTCTGACGAAGGGCTAATGCTCGAAACGTCAGCTTTAAAACTCCTTAAAGTGGCCAATTTACGTTATCAACTCAGTTGATAATACTAAATTACCCTGTTATACTCTCCCACTACCGCAGCACCACAGTTTCTTTAGAAACTTACCCCTTTATTCACGTCTTTAAAATTATGGATTTATTTCTTACATACCTGGGTTAATTTGATAAAATTCTAAATTGCCGGTTATTTTGGTGCTCGTTTCTCTCTATTTACAAAAGGTTCCCTTATCAATTAACATTTGACGTACCCCATCCAGGTTCCATTCTGGCATAAATCCAAAGTTGTCGTGCCTTATTTTTATCTTTTTTATCTCGCCCACGTCCATTAAATTCAGTTGAAAGTTGTCAACTCTGGCAGGAGAAATTAAATCATATGCAAGTTTCATTAGCTATAATCTCAAAGCTTCCATTTGTGGAGCGCTGTAGCAAATATAAAATAACCACTATGTGCTTCCCTATCATTATTCTCGACGAACTGACAGACTAGTGACTGATTGCGCGGCTGACTGACTAACTAACCTATCGAAAGACTGATGCACTTTGCTGACTGCATCACTGACTCAGGATGATGGAATGTAGGAATAACTTACTGGTCTACTAAGTGGATAAAATACTGACTTCCGAACTTTTGATTTATAGGCTGTCATGTACGTACTTCTGTCTGACTGACTGACTAACTGGGAGCAGATCTGACTAGTAATTGAATAACGCTCATAATATGGCATATGAGCCAAGGAATCAGTCGACTGACAATTGATTTACGTACTTTCCTTTTTCAAAGTTGTTTTCAAAAGTGTTTATCAGCTTCTTTTCCATAGTCTCTCCTTTGGTTCCATAAACAGTTAAGTACACGTTGGCATCAGTCCCCGCTCCTTCCTGAACACCCGTAGTGACTTTAACTTGATACGGAGCTGAAATAGATAAACGGACAGAAAATGTTGAATTAGAAACCGCCGATCAGCGTTTCAACAACATTTTATTTTCAAAGTACTTCAGACTCTTTCATGGCGGGTTTCCAATGTTTGCAGTTTCTGTAAGGAAAAAGGGAGCTTTTCTCAACGAATCTCTCTTTGAGTTGAAGCGATTTTCTTTTCCCATCAATTAATGGTCTACCTTTTTATTCACCTTGGTGTGAAATAAGAATGCCATCGCACGAAATGCCCGTAATATTTAACTTTATTTAGCTAATACCTTAAAGAACATCAGAGGCAAATCTTTCTGTATCAGACGTCATAAACGCTATGAGTGACAAATCATGGAAACCGTCTGACCCAGGGATTCGAACCCGTCTGAAGGATTACAATCACTCAAAGAGGCCATCTCTGTGAGATGGTTTTTTGAATGCATTGTGCTCTCTTTTCAAATTCAGATGAACATCTCTTTTTCGGTATAAACCTCACTTGACAAAATTTGTATGTTGTATTGACCTGTTAGCTGACCGGCTTTTCATTCTAAATCGTATTGCTTTCTTTGTAATAGTTAACACAACGCGCATTTCTATTCATTCATCATAACTCAAGGGTGCTTGACATTGTTATTAATCTTCTCCAAGGATTATCGTTTCACTCCTACCTGATCTTCGCTCTCTTGTGATCTTCAAGTTGCGCGCCTGCGTGCAATGTCCAGCTAAATTTAAAAGACGAGATTCAGTCAGATTCCAGATCGTCAAATTACCAAGGAGTCCGTAACTAAAGATATCTCATCCTTTGGATAGGTTATGCTCGTTTTTTTTAATGTGTGCTAGATTAAAACCCTAACTTAAACAGAGTTTTAAAACCATTATAAACCTGCTCACATTACGACCATTTGGGGGAAAGTTTACATGTATCTTCGACATGCTGGTCCTCGATCCTTCAGATTTTGCTGATTCCGATTCAATCTTATGTGTCCCCTGATTAGACACATCTGTAGCGCAAATATAAACCTGGTAGTACCTTCCTTTCTCGAATTAATCATGTTCGATAGAGTATAGGCAGTTTACTTCAAATCAAATCATCTTTCAGTGAAATGGAAAATTTTTTGTCTCTGGAAGGTAGTCTCAGGTTTTCAGCAAGCTAAGCTTTAGACGGAGTTAGTCTTAAGTACCTAATTCAGAATTTGAACTTTGAAAACGTACATTTCAGTCTTTCGTACCACAAGAGTATTTAGCAAAATGTAAGTGAATTAGAGATACAACGAGAATTCTAACATTAAAAATCAAACAAGCAAGGTGAAATCAGTGTGTTCGTCCCAGTAAGTGCAGGCTGTTATCAACGTTAAGTTTCACCGAGAAAAATTCTTTTTGAGGACTACCCTCACTCAAGTAATTACACAACACAACCACACAATCAAAAAGTGTTGATTAAATACCTAGGACGATTCCTAAGAGGAACAATAAATAAAGAGGACCAAATGAGTCCATTGTCACCTAATCAACCTGAAAATGAATCACACATCAAATGTTATGACCAGATTAAAAAACCTTAAGGGTGAAATTCTCAATAGTTATAATCATGGTGTCCAAACCTTTTAAGGCTGCTAATCTATTTTTCTCTTTTAAGCTAAGAATCGGTGTAATTCAAATCAAAACACTTACAAGGAGAAAATTAAACTACGGCTGCTTCTAACTTTCACTCGAAACTTATCTCATACCTCCTGACGTAAGTGCCTCATTGTTGTCAAACACAGGTTTTTATCGCCTTATAGTGTAATATCTGATCAGCACAAGCTAATTCATTTTTAGAGGACATATCATGAACAACAAACGTTTAATGTCACTTAATTGTCAGATTTTTTATCACTGTGTTTTGTACAATCCACTATTAATGACAATCTTTAAAAGAACAAAAGCTTCCGCCTTTCAACTCTTCCAAGGATTTATCTTGATCCATGTCAAAACTTTTCACCTGTGTTCTGATCCCAACGAGAATTCTCACAATATTAAAGTATTATAAATGAATGACTCGTGGTCGCACTCAGTTTAATACTCAGGTTTCACTTTCCATAGCCAATTCGTTTTGTAAGTTATTACAGGACACCAAGAATGAGTGTGGACTATTCCAAGTTCCTTTATTTAGCTCTGCTAGGCAAAGAAACCGGTCAAAAAAAGTTAGAGTTTTACACTTTTTTACGATTCGACAGTCATGCCTTTAAAACCCTGTCGGACTGATGAGACAATCAGTTTACTATAGCTAATCAGACTATTTGCCCCTCAGAAGATAAAACCAAATCGAATACGTGTTTTTCAAGCGTTCTTTTCAAGTAAATCCAGGTGACGAATAGTTACAGGTAAAATATTGGTTTCACGTCTATCTTGACTTCCATTATTTACTCATGAATCATCTTGACGTTTTCAAACCCTTGAGCCATGCTTTCCCAAGGGAAAAACTAGCATTAAAGAAAGAACATTCAAATAGTATTTAGAGGCAACATGAAAAGCACTTAAACAGAGAGATTTGAGAGAAGCTTTGATAAAATTCCAACGCAATCGATCAGTGTGACATAAATAAATCAAACCAACGATTAGCGTTATTCGTGTTTCCCTGCAATTTACATCACTAATCTTTCTCGAAATCTTCATATCACTTGATTATCTGGAAGTTTTGACTCGAGTTGAAATTTAGCTTTGGCGAGAGAATTGATTTTGTGGGAAAACCAATGAAACTTTATGAACCAACCGCTGTGGTACTTTGATTTCGAAGCGTTGGAACGTTATCTTATAATTCCAGCTGCGTCAAGTTGGCGACTAGTAATTCTGAAAAAAGAAAGCATTTCTCGGAAAAATGAGTTGCCTTGTTTTCGAATTTTTTTTTTATTTTGCTTTGCCGATGGATGGTTTTGTCTACCGATGCTTTTTGTTTATCGTTATTACGAATTAAGATAACTACCAAATTGTTTATGATACACTAATTGACATCACACCCCAACTACTTAGATATTAAGCCAAGATCTAGCGTAATGAAACAGGAAAATCTATGAATTATATGACTTACGTACATAAAATCAGAAACGATATTTCCTCGTCGATATCACGATGTGTCCTTGCAAACGATGTCTCTATAATCTCTCAAGTATACCTTTTGTTTAGATAAACAACTCGAGCACAATTAAGCGGCAGGTTGCAGCAGTCAATATTTCATCGAAACTGGTCGAGTAGAAAACTCAACAAGACGTGAAAAAAAATCAAATTCTTATCTTGAATTCTCCAGATGCTCTGGTGCTCACTACCAAAAGTAAAGAAATATTTTATTATTTTTATCTGAATAAAATCCTAGTAACAAGGGGGTTGTGTTACCAGTATAGCAATAAATGTTCTTTTCTTTCTGTTAACCTATGCTGGTGCCTTCTTGTGTTCTTATTGCAAAAATGTTCACTCTCTCTAAGGATGAGAGCAGGGAAGAGCCACCAGTATTTGCCACAGGTAAGCTGGCGTCGCTTGACTGGTGATCGCCACTTAAGAGATGTCAAAGAGGAACGAAAAGAATGCCACACCATTGGTCGAGATAAAATTAAATGTGAACTCCATTTGCCTGCGACCAGGCGAACAGTGCAAGAGAAAGTCACCTCAACCTTTCATGTCACTGAGTCTTATTCAAGGGCAATTTTGGGCAATTAATGATGTTTGTGGGAACCTGGTTACCCTCGATGGGAATTCCAGGTGGGATCCTGCTCGAAGCATTGAACCCACCCATTGTGCACTGTTGAGCCCCTTCAAATCAATCATTGAAAAACGGATTGAGAAACTCTTAGACACCATTACATAAGCGAACAGTTGCAATCCATGTACTTATATGCACATTAGAATGGCGGAAAACATACAGGATAAGCAACTTATAGTCCGCTCCAGAGTTTACAGTTAACAGACTTCCAACAAATTCTGGTAGTTAAACTGGCAGGCATTAGGATGCCTAACGATTATTCGAACTATGAATGTTTTTTTTCATCAAGCGTTCTTAGCAAAAAGTTTTGAGTTGCACCTTCGAAGGCTGGCACCATTTATGAGATAAATTTAGCTTCACACATATCTTTTTGTCCAATAGATGTGATTTAAAAGCGATAGCAAGATCAATACGCCGTGAATCAAAAGTTTCTTTTTATAAAGAAGCTAAAGGCCCGGTGTATTGAAATTATGAAGAAATAGTTTCTATTTAGAGCAACATTTAGACAGTGATAAACCGTAACAAGTATTGATGTATAGATAATGTGTACAGTGAAAAATATGAGCATGATGAAGACTCTTTACCCTATAAATATACAAATATCTTAAGCCTGTTCAGAAGCATCATCTACTGGGATGTATTCCATCAATTTCCTTCCTGGGTGCAATGGGTTTGGTCTCTTCATGTGACGTTACCAGAAGATGAGTCGGTCTCACGAAAGATAAAAATAAATTATTATGATATTTCATAGTTAACGAACTCAATAGGCGTTGCAGGCTCCTTTAGTTTAATGTCCAGAGAAAGTAATGTTTTGCCCTAAAATTTTGAAATATCGAACACGCCTAGATAAAAAAAGTTTCCGTTTTGCTTTTGCGGTCATTCTATATCCTTAAAAAAGGCGCGATGAATTTCATCACCTGAAAATTTAATTTGTAGTTATACTATATGGGTTTTCTTCGCAAACGTTCTCTCTGCCGCAGATATGTGGCGTATGAGCCTGGACCGAGACGTCTTGCTGGGATCGTTGTGGGTTGTCTACACGTTACTCCTACATTAGCAGCAGGGCACAACGGTGGGAGGGGGGGGGCATTGTCACCAAATCCCATCGCCGAAATTGTCGGAAATACAGCGTGATATTGACGAAGCAAATTTTTCGGAGGACTTTCTTGAGCATATTCTATGCTTTTATTCCATTCTTTCAGATTCATTGCAGATACATTGAGAAGTTGCACGTGCTAACGAATAACGCAAAGGGCATTTTGGGAAGTTTGAGAGGGGATATGCCCTTGGTCTAGGGAAGGACAAGCCCTGCCACGAGCTGTCATTCAAATCTGCATTTGGACCATTAAGGAAGGTGTTAGCTTCAATCAGATATAACGTGATATTACAAATATTTTTTCGACTCCGGGAGTTATTCTCATTCAACTAGACATTCTGTTGGTAAAAAGCCTTATTAACGTAGAATCCTTGTCGATTTAACCTAATGAGAATCTTCGCCTGGTCTGTATAATTCCAAGCCATCGCAGCTGCTTGTCTGTTTTTAGGAAAGGAATCACAAGCTCATCAAAATTGGTTATGTACAAATTTTGCTTCGTTAACCACAGTTGGAGTTTGATATCCCCAAAGTTGAGCGTTTGGACAAAAGTAGGACTTCCCTGTTTGAGCGTTGAAAATTCTTCTAGGTCGAACTGCGATGTTTATCTTAAATATTCATGAGTTTCATATCAATAATACACCAATATCCCTTTATCCTTCATGGTGAAGTGCTAAAGCTATTTACGAATCGGCTTCATCTTTATTCGTTCCAAACAAAATCAGGAAATTCGAAAGTCTGAGTAGAATAACTTAAAAAATAAGCGACAAAAATTTACGAAAAGCACGTAGGCTTGAAATGAGCCGTAAAATCGCTAGATTGATAGCAGCGGTGTTCAAATGTGATATTCAATCGTGTAAACTTCAACAAAGCGTCTCTCAATGGAATTGAACAATGAAGAACACGGGATTTATTTGAGGTAAGAGACTGCTTCATGAATCCATCTTTTGTCCTGATCGGTGTCACGGACTGTTTGACTAGTACTGGAAAGTTTAGGGGGAAAACCTGACTGTTATTGTTGCAAAAAAATATTACACTATATAAGTTGACCTCTCACCAACCAATGGCAAACATCTTCCTAAAGAAACTAATTTGAAGATTGGATCTGGTGCTAATATACTCTAATATACATTTATGGTTAGCATAAACAAAATAAGAACATGTACTCTAAAATTTCATAATAAAGACTATGGCGCGAAATACCACGAAAATTTAATTAATGCTTAGCTTTCATTTTGCCCTGCAACCCTTTCTTAGAACATCCATTTATAAAATGCATGAAAATTGTTCAGTCTTTGCTATAATTGCCTAGGAAATTTTGTATTTTTTGGTGTTCATATTTATTTTTTCTGTGTATCCTATAGTTGCCCAAATGTGAAAAAAACAGGATGCAAAATTCTGTGGTGTTTTTTACTCTACCTCTGTTGTTAACTGGTCTCATAGCAGGTAGGTAACTGGTAAAACCTTTAAGGTGACTATATCAGATTAACTTATCTTGCAGTTCGAATCTTGCATTTGCAATCCAATAATTCACGTCTTTTTAATCATACAGTGCTATTTCCGCGCCTCCGACTCGGCAATCTTTTTACATGCCATTTTACGCCCAAGCAAAAATCCTGTTTCTCTCAAACAAGCCCCATGTTTTACATGTCAAGTAGAATTTGTGTGAACAAGTTGTAAGGTCACTTTTGACTTGGCTAAAATTAATCACCCACCGTTTCCACGATAGGGGGGCAGTCTCCTTTAAACAAAAAAAACCAAAAAAAACCAACAGAAACAACATTAGCAACAACATTTAATAGTCTGAAACAAGCAAGGCAATATCCCCGCAGGAACATGTTTTTGATTCTCTATTCAAACAAAATGGACCCGCCCACAGTTATTTGTTTCAAATGATATACACCAGAGTTTTAGTTTGTATAACTGAATAACTAAGTGCAGAGCGGTTCGCTAACAATGAACAGAGGAGAGAAAATACTATGGGTCTATAAAAAGTCTTTACTTTTCACAATTGTTCTATGCTTAGCGTAGGTATATCGACGTATGGATGCACGCAGGAAGTTTTAAGAGCACGAGAGAAGCGAAAAGGTTGCTCGAGGAGAAGCCGGGAGCAACTCTAGCTTATTGTTAATGATGTTAGTCGTGTAGAGCTGGTACTTCAAGCTATGAAATAATGTTAAGATGACACTGAAATAAAACATATACTGTTATATTGTCATTCAGTCTACAATGGAAATATCATTCTTAATTACTCATCGGAATTCAATGCGAAAAAATAGCAAAAAAGTTGTACAAATTTGGTCTTGATTCTTTATCAGTCTATTCATTTCTGATCGAAACATCGAACAAAGGTTGAACGAATACAAAGGAAAAGAATATAACAGAAATGGCGCAATGAGAATTAATTAAAAGTCTAACGTATGCTACAACTTTGAATTCTTCAAATTATCACTCAAGATGCAACACGATGCATAGTAGGCTTATTAAATTTATTTACTCATCTCACTTATCAAAATTCTTTGATCACCGGATACCCAGATTACCTTCCGACATTATTGTATACACATTTGTCCTCTTTCCTAGAACTTTTCTTGAGACAGCCCTATGAGGAAAGTGCGTCTTTTAAATTCCTCAATATAAATTATTGGGTATATCTCTTTACTCCTTTACTTTCAGGATCCAAAACTAGATATGATGTTTATATATTCACTGGTAACAAGTTTGGAGCAGGAACAGATGCGCGAGTATTTATCACTCTGTTTGGTGAAAAGGGCCACTCGAAAGAGATAGAGCTTGAAAGTAAAGGACGGAACGACTTCGAAAAAGGACAGTAAGTTGCACTAATGATAAACTTGTCTTGTAAGAATGAAGAGGGTAAGTCTCTATAGTAACTGTAGTGGTGCAGCGGTGGTGGGTATTGCAAGATACAATTTGGTATGATCAGCTGAGTTGATGATGTCAATTGGCCACTGTAAAGAGCTTCTAAAGCTAACTATTCGAGTGTTAGCCCGTTGTCAAAGCGAATATTTAAGGCCCATCTTCAGAAACTGAAGTCTCAGGGCAAGCAACTTTGGGTTTAATATTTAGTGGACCTTTAAAATTAAGTAGAAAAATAGGTGAATCTACTAGTACTTTAATTTTGACATTACAAATTTAGCTTCAAGTGCGTCAAGAAATGAAATCTATAAACTTCTCAGATATCTCTGTGTCAGTTGTATTGGTGTCTATTTTCAGGAAGGATAAATTTGTCATTGAAACCAAGTACCTGGGGAAACTAAATGCTATCAACATAAGACACGACAACAGCTGGTTTGGATCTGGATGGTATTTAGACAAGGTAAAATTACTTACAGGCATGTGTA